CGCAAAATATACTAATAAACGATGACATTAAACTAAAACACATGGCGGCTTGTTATGACGTAACAGATTTGTCCAAGAGCTGTTTATATACTAGGAATATAATAAGTGATAAGTCATGTACCTTTCATGTTTTTTTTGTAGTGTATTCACAGAGATTTAGCAGCCCGCAATATCTTGGTAGGTGAAGATTACGTCATGAAGATCGCAGACTTTGGCCTGGCAAGAAACATACGGGACATTGATTATTAYAGAAAAACGACCAATGTAAGTCACTTGTTATAAAGTGCAATAACTCATGGRGAACTCAAGGAACTATTTACATATTCTTGATGTCATATTTGGATATGAGCTAGCTAATGAGAAAAACGTCTTATCTTCTCTATCAAGGATGTCTAGTCATGTTTGACCATGTTTAGCTCTGTTTACCATATTCTATCACATTCTTAGATACTATAATATCTATTATCTTATTAATTTGTACAGGGRCGAGTTCCAACCAAATGGCTGGCAATTGAAGCTTTATTCGACCGGGTCTACACGACACAGAGYGATGTCTGGACGTTTGGGATATTATTGTGGGAAATCTTTACATTAGGTAAAGCTTAAATATTTAATATCTTTTTGTATAAATTCCTCCTGTTGTTTGCTAAAACTAAGTTAAAAGTTATGATTTGAAACTTAAAAAAATTGAACAAATACATATGATCTATACATGTGAAGCGCCATTGAACTCAGAGGATATCGGCGCTATACAAATACCATATATTATTATTATTATATATTATTATCATTATTATATGTGATCCGGGGGGTGCACACCACCAGGTTACAGACTTTTTATGGTGTGAGTCTGAAAAAAAAACATAACCTGCAACCCCCCTGAACACTCAAAGTAAAATTTAATTTAAGTACTATWTGTTTATATAGAGATTTAATCTTCTCATAGGTGGATCGCCTTATCCTGGGATTCCTGTGGAAAGCCTTTTTGAACTTCTAAGATCTGGATATCGAATGCAGAAGCCCCAAAACTGTCCCAATGAGATGTGAGTACGATGTTTGAAATATTCACAAATAAACATATTGTCAATAACAAATATCTGAAATAAAATTTACGAGGAAAATATTCAAGATGTGTATGACACAATGAGAGGTAAACAGAAGAAATATTGAACGAAATTTGATACATTATTACAAATTTGATAACTTGACACGGGAAATATTCGATGCAGAACKCGTTAACAAAGAAAATACTTGAAAAGTATAATAATGTTCACTGCTTTGTCACAGATACACAATAATGTTGAGATGCTGGAGTGAGAATCCAAACAACAGGCCATCATTCACAGAACTCAAACAAGAATTCGATAGATTGTTAACTTCCATGACTGACAACGTAAGTTCCCACTTGGTATGTAGACTTGGGTCGTAACTCCAAACAAACACCCCTTACTTTTCAGGGTTACTCAACAGGTTTTTCTTAACGTGCTGTACTATTTTTATTTCAGGACTATCTCGTGATACTGGCCAAGTCAATCGATGATATCGTAGTKGAGATTGAAGCACCAATTTCAGACGATTCCAGTKGCACAACCCAACAGGACTCCAGCAGTGAAATAATCYTAGAGTCRCGGTGCTAGAGTACACTAAAAGGACACAACACTTTGCACCTTTTTRTTGTCGTGCYTACAACAATATCACCAACATAATTGTTTTTGCAAAAACAAAAACAATTGTATGAGACACAACATGCCACCATTGCTCATTGCCCGCACCGATCTTTGTGCATACTATTATGAATAGACATCGTATCTGATGCCCTATTTCCAAGAATTCCYAACAAGGCACAACGTTCACTATCAAGGAAAACTTCGATCTTCATAGTTTTTATATGAGGTCCGCCATCTTGATAATTTTATCAATACCATGATGCACTTCGCCAAGGCACACATGACGTCATTAGTGACGACGAGCACTGTTTCAGCGGTATAGCTGTTAACTTGTACTTCATGATTATTTATAACAACGGCACTATTTATTATCATTTTTATCGTTATTTGCAGACATTTTGACCGCTTGTACATTCGCCATAAAGATACCAATACATTGAATAAAAAGGAATTATTGCTAATACAGACCCAGTAGTTTATGTATATATATCAACATAGCGTAGCTATGATATTTAAAAATTAACCCTTTAAGTGCCGAATATGTTTAATAACCATGAATAAGAAGAATTTAAAGAGATTAATTGACTTGAAGTTTTTTTAGCAAGAAAACAGCGGAAATCGCATAAAATTACCCATAATGCATTTGATACAATGAYATATGTCAGCGGTCAGAGCGTTTGCAAAGGATTGTATGCAATTAAAAAAAACATATATTGATGCCGTACATATGGCGCTGCACATGTAAACAATAAAAAACACGGAAAAATGCAAAAGGAAATCATATTATGCTTCATTTGTTTTTATCAATTTCAAATTTCCTCGGCTTTGATGAACACAGACAAATAGACGGAGACTAWCGAGGGATAGCTGTACGTTATCCAATTCTAATACTGAAATACAACTATAAATAAGTACAGTCGGCATCAAAACATCCTGTTTATTCTCTTCAAAACACTGTACTATTAATTAAGATGATAGAAAAATATATATATAGAAAGAGAAAGTATTGTAAATAAAGTTAAAGCCTGGAGAAGCATGATAACAGTTTTCCAAATAAAAGTTACCGGAGCCTTGAGAAAAACAACAACATTCAACTCACTACATATTGTCAAAACGTGGAGGAACATCAAGGCATTTATTGATGGGAAAAGAAATATGTGCATTTTTCTTATTTTAAATGAATAATGTTAATTATTATAGTTATCATTATAGTGTTATTAGTAAAGGTTGTGAAGAAACGTGTGCGATTTTCAAAACTAGTTAATATAGCTTTAAATGATCCCCTAGGCGGAGGCACTTTTGGCTTTAAAAAAAATTAGAACAATATTTTGACCTTGAGAATGTTTGGACGCCTTTTCGTCACACACCTGCACAAGATTGTATGATTGATTGTACAGTGTCTATTTTAGTTCACAAAGCTTTTTTAATACARCATTTCTCTAGGTTCCGACAGTCTTAATTGAGGAAGCTCTATGTTTTCCTATCTAAGCTCACATGTTTTTTATGAATTTTCGAGTAGTGATGGTGATGTAATTATCGTAATAATAGCAATGAAAAACAATTTTCACAATAGCTTACCAAAAGTGATTGGTTCATAATATGAACTGGTCATATTTTTTTAATTTTGATTCCACGAGGTTCACGAGTTTAGATTAATGACGTTTATTTTTAACGCACGCTGATTGGCTCTTTTCAAGTTGCCGATTAAGATATAGCAACATTGTAAGATACCAAGTTATATTRATGACTTGGACATGTTTCTACTACGAAATGACCTACTAACTTAACAGGTAATATCTTTGCTTTGATTTACAATAATTATATTGAACTGAGGTCATTATACTTTTCATTTCAAGCGATTAACTTTGGATAAAAAATGTCCCATTTTCCTAATAACGAGAAACGCGAGATGCGCCAAGGGTTTGACGGAAGTACTAACTAGGAAACAATGTTGTTGTTATCCAGTTGTGTTTTTTGGCATTTCCTAGGCTGTTTTGCGAATAATAAGCAGTACTTAGATTCAAGACAGAYATTCTAACATTCTCCAGAATGTAGCATCTCATTTTATGCTTTTTTAAAGGGATTCCGAACCCGAGACATCCATTTTATTACTTTGATAAATACCATGATGCATTTCGCTGAAACACACATGACGTCATTATGATGATCACTAATGCGCGTAACACTCACGAGTACGAGTCCCTTCTCGTGGATTAATTATATATTGTTATGATTATTATAATCATTATGTTATAATGTTAATTTTTCTGGTGTTTTCATTTAAAAACGAGAAAAAACAGCCTTAAAATGTCACTCTAAAGGTCAAATTCAAATAAAAGAGACGCTTTTTGCTAAACTAACCACCTCAAGTACTGATTTCTTATCGCAATTTCCACTAATAAAAGCTTTAGTTTTAAAGTGAACAAAGATTCCTAAGCAAACAGGACATAAAAAACGTCGTGTCATCGAATAAACAGAATCAATTGTGGTGAAACATKAGTCTGAAAACACACGTACTTCTAATSACCAACCCACGATGTTATCAATACGACATGCATCTTACAGTGAAGACAATTTCTAGTTGAAAACCTAAGCGAACGGGTAATGACGCATAGAGACGGTAAGTCATGTTAAGTTATAATCTGATTGAGATAGCTATGAGAAATCCGGTTGTTAAAGTAAGTTTATTTCAGCTCATCACATCGTTTTTACTAAAATCTAGAAAACCGGACTATCATCTCCTTTCTTTGCTTCTTGTCAGACAAATTGAAGTTTTATTATCGTAAATGTGTAATGTAGGATCACTAGTGAGTCTCATTAAATCTAGCGGAAGATCGTAGGCCCATATCAAATTTTAGTTAAAGTTTTCTATGGTAACGAAATATCATTTAAAACCATGTAACAGAGATAACACTGATACTGATTCTCTTATTCCGTTGTTTTCGTTTGTCTGTTCAACCATTGCAACTTGTTAACCGTCAGATTCCAAACATGATAAAAAGGCAAAGACAACAACAACAGCAACAACAACATCAACAACAATTCAATAACAACATCATCAACAACATCATCAACCACTACAACAACATCAACCACTACAACAGTAACAATAAAACAACAACAACAACAACAACAACAACTGAAACAAGGACAACTATAACAACACCAGCAGCTGCAACAACAAGAACAACAAACAATGAAATTGCAAACGATATGTGGTTTCTAAAAACCCGTTGAAATAGATATTTTCACTGAAAGTCACTCTAATTCGCCTTAGTAATCTAAATGCATTGTTTTCATTTAGGCAACTTAACTTCACCACTGCTTAGATGTTGTTTCATGGGTTTAATAAGCTCAGTTGTTCTTTCACAGCCCGATGAAAATCGCTATTATCTATTATGATATTTTGTTGAATATCGCACCATTATACGTTCGATCATCCGAAAGTCGATCTTGCAGAATGTTCGTTACTTAAACCCACAATTCACCATGAGCTCAAATTTCCGTGACGTCATCGATCCTTTGATTGAGGAAACAGAACAAGTCTTTTTTTAATTATTTACGCGCTCTTTGACATGATTTACGTGCAGGTTTTCGTACTGCACCTGCTAGCACTAAGTAATTTTATACTTTTCCTTCATATTAATCAAGGTGCCATTACATTACGCATCTCAACCTTATCTAAAACGATGAAATTGCTCAAAAATTGTCAACCGCTTAAACGCGTTAGAAAATAACGTGGCAAAGATATCGTTCTACAATCTGAATAAAAACTTGCCGAGGGAATTTTTAAAAATAGAACTTACGTCAAATAATTAAAAAACATATAAACAGTGGGAAGATTTAAATTAAAAATGACTACAAAAGATACACTTCAGAATGCGTCAATATCTCAAACAAGCAACATAATCAAAGCAAGTTTTAGTTTGTCGGTGGCTGTAATTATAAGTATAGTTTGAAGGTCCATAAAAAATTAAATGAGAAAAAGGGTTATTATAGAGAAAGAATGAAATAATCAACTAAGTAATGGTTTTCTTTGGCCAGTAACGTAAGTTTGTACTTGAAACTGAGGTTTTCATTGATGCGTTTTCGTGTCGTTTGCGTACTGTTCTCTATAAGGAGAAGGTGAAAAGTGCAATTACAAATACGCCACGAAAACGCATCGGAAAAACGCAACATCAATTGTAAAAACGGAAATAAACGCAAGAAACCCTATTAAAAAAGTCCAGGACAATATAAATACGCTACCAAAACGCAGTAGAAAAACGCATCATGCAAAACCTGAAATTCGTTCTCCAAGGTGCACTTTGCATGCATTTGTAATTGAGCAAGTAAATCAGATCCTAATGCATAATCCTGACGGCACTGCAGGGCACACTTAAAAATCATTCTAATAAGCGATGAATTAGAAAAGGGACAAATCAGTGACGCATAGCCTAGTCAATCAACACGTAAAAACTGCTTAGAAGACCATGAGTCAATAGAAACATAGTTCCATTTTATACAATACAAACCGGTATGAATATGCAATGATATATGAAGAGAACAGAAAGGACTAGTCGGTCTACGAGCTGACTGGACTCCTGTCAAAACACTCCCCTTACAGAGGAAGAAACTACGAAAGAGGGCGGATTGGTCTTATCCTCACATTCACAAAACAAAATTGGGCGAATGCTGATAACAATTCGAACAGAATTGTTGATAAACCGCCTTCAAGTTATGCAAATTGCAGTGTTTAATATTACTGGAGTTGTAACATCCTGAGAGCTCTTTACCGAGAATTGATTTGGTAATTTAGAGTCCAAACAAAAGGCGAATATTGCGAGATCATGTGGGAGGAAGAACGCCGTCTCGGCTGCTTTCCATTATAAACTCTCATTTAGATGCTATCGCAACACTTTCAACAAAATTAAGCACAGTTTGTGGAGTTATTTTAACGTCTTTTTTCAAGCTAAAGGACACTTTCGCAAACCACAGAGAGATTGTTGGTTGGTAAGTTGACTCTTGGTTGACGAGATATCTTTGTGAGTATTTAAATTTATTTTCATTTGTATGCATTTTGACAGAAATTGAAAATTTATTCTTTTTCACACTTGAAATTTTGAAGTATAAAACCATATGCGTTTGTTTCTGCAATTGTTGTTTATAGTTCCCCGGGCATAAATGTTGATAAAACGCGCTTGGATTCATGCWGTTTTTACCCTTAAAACATGAATTTCGCCAAAAATTTCCACGAGACACAAGYAAAATTTTTACTGATTCAGCTGAAGACTTGACACATGTTGACAGTCCTTGAATGAATCAAGRGACGTTTCGTAATTTCAATTATATTTTAAAAAAATCCTTAAAACCAGGTTTTTCTTTGAGTTTTACTACATTTAACTGGGAAGGATATATTTCTTGATTAATTTTTCAATATATCAGAGGTTAAATTTTAATATTYGTCTTTTTTGGAACAAAAGTTGAATTTGACTCATGTGAATGCATCTGAATTTTCTCTAAAACCTGTAATTCTGTCATTTCGAATACCAGCCTTGACCGTATTTATATTCCTAATGGAAAAGTGTATAATCTATAATCTATGATTTCCTTTTTCCATTGTATATTTATTTTTATGATTAAAATCATGCTGATTTATCCATATATCAGTGTAAACGTTTGGACACAAACGTCTGTCTCTTTGAGTTTTATCGGTTATGTATAACAAAATAACCAGCAAAACCTTATCATTTCTTAATTATTGTTTTCATCCGCTGTTTATATTGCACCACCAAATGCTTT